CTGCTTCAGGTCTCTCAAGAGCATCGGGCAGAGGATGATGTGCTCCAGCTTACATGATACCGCAGTCCTGCCACCATCAGGGCAAGGCAGAGAGAGGAATAGCCTAGTAACCCCCCCAGCCATCTGCCCTCAGGTATGGTCTGTACCCCAGTCTCAGGCAGCTGCCCCTGTGCCAACACCACAGGGAGGAGGCACCTGCTATGCAGGCATAGCCTGGCTCCAGAGGAGCCACTGCAAGGCATCATTCTCCATCCCTCCAGGGCTTCACAGCTGCCTGCGAGCGTTCAGCCACAGCTCGTGGTGCCCTTGCTCCAGGAATGGCAGGCTGGAAACACATCTCTTCTCCAGGCAGCCCCAGAAGGGGGTGGCAGCGTGCTGCAGTGCTGTGCCAGGCTGTGCTGGAGCGGGAGAGGGGCCACATGCTCGCCTCCCCCAGGAGCTGCTGGCCCTGCCTGCCCCCGCAGAGCCAAAGCGGGCACCTCCAGGCAGGAGCAGACCAAGGCCTCATGGAAACCTGGCTCCTGTGCACAGACCAGGGCCCTGCAGGCCATTGGGATGTGCTGCAGCTGGGGGGCGGGGGGGGTAGGCTGCACAACCTCATCCCCACAGCCTGTGGCCAGGGCCAGAAGCCCTGGCACACCAGCAAGGAGGGCAAAACAAGGTCAGTGCCTTGTGAGCCCAGCACCCTGGCCTCATCCTGCAATCCAAGAGAGCCCATTTCATCCTTTTGACAGAATGGACCACAGACCCATGCCACCCAAATAGGGATTCTGTCCCAAGGCAGGCAGGACTTTGGTCAGGCCCTTCCCTCCTACCTGCCCGCAGCCCCAAACTTGCGCTCAAAACCATATGTGGGAGACTTGCAAAGGCTTCACATTCAAAAGCATGAAGGCTTAAGAGCATTTGACCTTATACAGCATTATATCAGCAGCTTTCTATTCACTCCCTGTTCTCCCTGGTGAAGTGACCCAAGTCCACTGGCTGCCGTACACCTCCGTGCAGCGCAAGCTGTCATCAGGTGCCCAGAGCAGTGGGCTATAGTGATCATCAACTGCTCAGCAGCAGGAAAGAAAGGAGCTGTGCCCTGCTCTCCAGGAGAGAAGCTGGCTTGGCAGAGCTGCCCACACTGTTTCCCTTTTCTTTGTCAGCACTGCTGAGAGTAGCTGTACACCCTGACGTTTGATCCGTTTACCCTTCTCAGCTGATCAGCATTCTCCCCTGCAGCAGACAGAGCTGCCTTTCTGTCCAGCTTGACACACCCAGCAGCGACAAGAAGCAAGTCCCGGTGCCACACGACACCTTTGTACAAACTCATTCATATGACTGAGATGCGCAGGAAGGAGAGCGGCAGGGCAGAGCTGCGCAGAACCAGTTCAGTTTGCAAGAACTGGAGGAGGCACTGCTGTGTTTCAGGCTCGGAAAAACCTTCGGGCATTTTCTCCCTGGTGGATCCAGGAGCTCTGAACAAGCAGCTAACTCTTTGGTGCCTTTGTTTCCTCTGAGAAGGTCCTGTTACAATGAGCAAAGGCAAAACACATAGCAAGTGCTCCAACAGTCCCCTGTTTAAGATGATGACATGCAGTTGTTCAGCAGTGCAGAGTGCACACACAACAGGCAGAGATGGCCAAGAGCTCCTCACCAGAGTTGGGTACCAGCCATGCTCTCCTGCCAAATGCTCATGCTCTTCCAAACCAGCTCCCTGTGCTGGAGCCCTGAGGCAGCTCTGGTTTCTAATTGGCTGCCAGGTGCCATTCAAGCTGTCTGGCTTCAGAGCCATGGAGAGCTGAATTGCTGCTGCCACAGTATTGCCATACCCAACACCATGCCACAGTGCCTTGAGACACAGCAGGAGGGGGCTGGGAGGATGTTCAGGGGAGCACTGGTTCCTGGTGGTTTGGAGGCAGCAGGGCGACTCTGACCTCTGTAAAACACCAGCAAGAACAGATACAACAGAACTTGCTCCAGAGCAAAGTCCTTGCAGCTTCAGACTGTGTGAAACCCAGGGGAACCTGACACCCTTCCCTGCCCCAGAAAAAGCTCTGCAGCAAGTGACACTCCCAAATCTGGTGGACAGTGTAAGGTTATACTGCTTCTGGGACACCTCACGTACCCTCAGCTCCCTTGCTGGAGCAGCTAAGATGGATTGAACACTCAGGGTGACAACACCCTCTCCTCTGAGCAATAAAGGATTGCTTCACCATCAGACAGCTAGGCTCTGGCCAGCCTCCGGCAGGCATCTGCTGACTGGAGGCCATGTTATGGCAATGTAAACCATGGGCTGGAGGGCAGTTACTAGGTTTTGGCCACACCACTCAAGCCCATCTTCACCCTGGTTGAAGGCAGTCGCAGCAAAGGCACCACCCAGGGAAGAGCTCTAGCACCTCTGCTTTTTACTTCTAGAGTTAAAGCAAGGTTACTTTCTGGTAGCTCAGCACTAAGCTATCAAGGAGCAATCACCATCCCTGGAGGTATTTAAAAGATGGGTAGACGTGGTGCTGAGGGACACCGTTTAGTGGTGGTTTTGGCAGCTTTAGGGTGATGGTTGGACTCGATGATCTTAAAGGTCCCTTCCAACCTAGACAATTCTATGATTCTATTGGCCTCAATGCTGGAGCATGCAGAAGACACAAGCTATCAAATGATCTGCTAACGTTGACAAGTCCTCCATCATGGCACACAAAACAGTAAAGGATTTTGCTCGTTAGTTGACAACTTGCAAAGAAGTCAGTGAAATCGAGTCTAACTGCGCACTCTCCTGTAGGATGGGTCTGTATAACCTTCCCCAACCCAAAGCAGAGTGGAAATGGATGCTGTCCTGTGCAATTTATAGCAAGTTGTCCATGACTGCAGGCATACAAGAAGAGTTTGCCTGAAGTATTTATAATGAATCCATTAAAAGTTTTAAACTACAGCCAAGCGTTGAGGACATACTGACAAAGCATGTTCAAAGCACATATAAAGTGCTGTTATGAAACACTTGCTGAAATATTAAACAAAACAGCTATTCCAAATTTGGGCCCGTGCAGTGGGAGAGCACCACTTCCACTGTGTGGCTGCTCAGCTGACTCCCATCGGATGCTGCCTCTCAGCACAAGTGGGTCACAGCGGCAGCGGGCATCACTCCTCCCCTGCCAGCCAGCACCTTCAGCTGCCTGCGCAGCACTGCTGCTGGCATCTTCTGCTGGACAGGTCTGCACTGAACTGGCTGACACAAAGGCACAACTGCCCACAAATAGTTTGGGGCAGGACAAGGGACGGCAGCCATATCAAGACCTTTCTGGGACTCACCATGGGGGTGGGGGTGGCGAGGGGGTGCCTTTCTCTTAGAAAGAGTGAAACAGCACTGGAAGGAGACCACATTCTTTCACTCTTCTGCTAAAAGCTGGAAGTCATTTAAACCAGCAGCACATCATGACACAACTACCTTCCTGCAGAAACACTGAGAAAAAGCTGTGCTCTTCCCCATGCAGGGGATTACAGTACTTTACCAAACCCATTCACCTTCCACATTCAAGGAAAGCCCCAAAGACAACCATTTGAAATAAACATTTGAGAAGTCACTGCCTTCCACTGCAGAGTTCCTCTCCCAGAGAGAGCAAGAGTCTCCAGTGGATAGCTCTCTGCCACTGCCAGCTCACGGAAGCTGGTGTCAACCACTGCTGCAGGCTGAGAGGAAACACAGTCACCACTGAAAGTTTTCAGACTTTGTGAGCATCTGGGCAATACTCTACTAAATAAAAATGACCACCTTTCCCTTACAGTTTGAGTTTAATGATCACTTCAATCAATGCTTC